GAGAACAAGTGCCCGTAACACTTGTTAGCCAGTTTGGTGTAGTGGTTAGGAGCGCGAACTCTAATCTGGGAGAACCAAGTTTGATTCCCCACTCCTCCACATGCAGCTGCTGGTGTGAACTTGGGCCAGTCGTAAGTTCTCTCAAAGCTGTTCTCCAGAGAGCTCTCTCAGCCCCACCTACCTCACAAGGTGTCTGTTGTGGGGAGGGGAAGGGATTGTAAGCCACTCTGAGACTCCTTCAGGTAGTGAAGGGCGGGGTACAAATCCAATCTCTTCTTCTAACACCACATAGTGACAAGGTCCTAGTTTCATGCTGGCTCAAAGCCCTCCTAGGAAAATAGAACTCCACACGGGGGGAGCCCCTGTAACTCCTTTACATGAATAAACTTCCATAGGAATTGTACCGGAAACATTTAACTGGAAGCATTTCGGGGGGGGGGAAGTTTCAGAAGAGGTGCTCAAAGAAACCAAACTGATTGGAGCTTGGGAGGGGGTGTTGTGTGAGATGTACAGCTTGCCAAAATGCACCACTTCAGACCACAGGCAGCCAGTGTCTGCTTTGAATGTTCCTTCACACAAAAAGCTCCACTTGGCAAAGAGAAAGCTAGCATAGCAAGGCAAAAGATTTTACCTCTTTCCTAGCAATGTAGGTTTCCTATTTGCTGGAATTTTTTAATACAGGAGAACATGCCAAAACACAGAGTCCAAAACAGCAGGTTCATCCTACTGCCTCATTCTCCTGTGTTTGTGTAAACCAAGCCCAGGACAATGTGAAATTAGGCATACTCGAGTCTGCCAAATATTTTCATGAATGTACTCATGCTAGTTAAATAACCACATTTGGCTACAGATCCCCTTCCTCAGCTGAAAACTGATCCAGGCTAGGCTGACATTTGGAAAACCTTCACACTACTGTGTACCAGTTTCACCACTCCTTTAAAAAAAAATATGTTTGCCACCTGCTTGGGGCTGCACTTCTAACCCTGGGATATAAGAATGTACTTTTTTATAGAAATAGGGCTGTGAGACAACGCTCTACTTCAGACACTACTTCCATCACAATACACCAAGCGCCACAGGACTCTGGGACGTTTGGAAGCAAGAGGTTTCCCCAAAGATCCTGCTGGATTTGGCCCTGTGGTATAGCAGCTTCTCCTTGGCAAGTTTTCATCTCTGCACAAGATGTGGCCACAGGGGAAGCAGCCCAAACAGCCACCCCTCACGTGGCACATGGAAATGTTATTCTGCGACTGTTGCCATATTAAGAACTGAGCTAGTCTCTGGGTACATGTTTATCAGATATAGTTTGAAGGAACATAGCCTTGGAAGTAGGATGGGGCACACCAGTCAGACAATGAATATATTGTCAAGGATCTTATGGTGTAAAGAATGCAGCTTTGCAGGAGGCACTTTTCTAGTTTATTTTATCATGGTGTCATTTGGTAGCAAGGCCACTTGTCTCCAAGCTCTGCAGCTGCCAGGGGCAAACTGGAAGTATTGTAAAGCTGTTTGTACTGACCACTTAGAACTGCAGGCATCTTCAGACTTCTTTTTAACACCCGCTTATAATTTTCCCTTTGTTTCTCATTTATTTTAAAGTTTTGTAACTGTAGGCTGAGAACTGCTAGGGAAGAGGGCTGCTCAGAGAATTGCTCATGTTTTAAAGAACTTTTACCTTTCTTAAAAGTTGGTTGCAATTTTGTAAATTAAAATTCATTTTTTACAATTATCCAGTTTGTTTTGTAATAGGCATACATGTTTTTTCCTACTCTTCAAAAAAGTTAACTTCTTTAGATACACTGTTACAGGTCAAATGCTTAGCAGGAAACTGGCAAGTCTTCAATCACTATCCACTTTGTTACTCCGGTTAGGTGCTGTGTGTATTGCACATTCCTAGAATATGGGCCCAGTTTGGACCCCGCCCAATCCTATTCTCCATTCAGAGAAGACAATCCTCCAAGTGTACCACCCTCCTCAGCCATTACCCCAATTCAGTTTCAAAAAGGGCTAAACGTCAACACAGCTCATTTTTATTGTTTAAAAACTTTACAATGATTTTTGTTCCTAACGTTTAAACAAGTGGCATAAAAGTCAGGTGGGAGGATCCAACACTGTTTGCAAATAATGTTGTCTTTCATTTAAATACACACCACTTATTTCAGGCCAATTATAGTTCAAAATCGAGGGAGACGAAAAAGTGTCTCCCTTTCAATCAACAGGCAGATAAGGCTTCAAGAGTTAGCTGGCCTGACAGTCAAAGGGAATCTATCGAAGCCACACAAAACAGACCCAATTCTACAAAGCCTTAAAACAGAACGTTCCCCTCTCCCCCTTTTCTCAACCCCCTCCCTGGATGAAAAGATGTTCGATTAAAAGACTGTGGTAACAAAAATATTTTCTGGCATTAGGAGCGATTGTCCCAGGGACACATTTTAGATGCTGGAAGTTTCACAAGGAAGAAACAAGTGGGGAGGAAGGAAGATTCAATCTCCAGCTAACTACAAAAGCCCCAACAGCATCCACTGAGGTTCTGAGCCAGAGCGTTCACAAGAAGGCATCACACCATTCCCTCAGGCAGCCGTAACAGTCTCTGGATTGCTTGGCGCTGGCACCACACGTATCTTTCAGCCACTCACGGAAGAGGTCTTCGTCCTTCTTCAGCACCAGGAACTGCCCAAGCACCACATAAGCCTAGGTTCAGAAACGGGAAAACAGAGTTTAAGCAGCTGGGACAGTGAACCCAGAGGTCCCACAAATCTGCCTGCCACAGTCATCACTGCAAGAATGCTCTGGGATCAGCTGTACTCCCAGACGCTGCCCTCCTCTTTCCCCAGCACCAGCTGGTGCCGAACATGCTGATGGCCTTCTCACCTCGCCTTCTCCTTGCCCAGCATCAGCCAGTGTTCAGCACACGAGCTGCTTCTGCCGGCCTTTTCCAGCCCAAGCAGGGCAGAGTCCAACATGGCAAGCAGCAGCACTTAATCTGCTGACAATTGGGAGTGGCTAGGGGCTCAGGACCCAGTGGAGGCAGATCACCTGTGGTGCTGGGAAGCTAGAGAGCCACGGAGACACACAGAGGTAGAAACAGTGGAAGTTGGTTCACCGCAGGGCCAGCCGGAGCAGAGGATCTTGTATGAAGTCTTGCACTCTGGAGAGTGCGTCGAGTGATCCTCCTCGTAAAACAGATTGTTGAACTTAACGCTCTGGACGCAATTGCTTTGAATTGGGCACTAGACCTCATCTCTCCAGGGCACATTTTTAATTGTATGGCATCTCTAGGGCATAGTCACTCTGAGGACAAGTTGTGAGTGGGCAAGGCAGCCGAGAGTGGTTGACTCCCCACTATGTCAAGGAACCCTTCTTCAGACCAGCCCCTAACCCAACAGCCAAGAAGCCCTGAAACAAGAGGTTGTAGAAGGCAGGCTGGTTTCTCTGAGCATGGTTCTCCGACAGCACTCTGACAGCACTTATGGCAATCACTTGGGCACCCCCCTCTCAAGAAGAGCAGCAAAGGACTGAACACGTTAAAGCCAATGCTCCCTCTGAGCTGTGGAGTCTTGTGAGCAAAAATTCTATTTTGTGAGCTACTGGCATTAAAGTTGTGAGTGAGCGATTTGGCTGCTGCATAAATCAGTTTGCTCTGGAGCCATCCTTCCTGAGCGGAGACAAAAATGTGTGAGCCGGAGGCTAAAAAACTGTGAGCTAGCTCACACTAACTCAGCTTAGAGGGAACACTGATTAACGCCCAACCCTCCAGCTAGGTTAATCCCCACCCCCACCCAGTAAGCTTTCAGAACCCAGAAGATACCTTATCAAAGCCTTTGTCTTCCAGCTTCTTGCCAAGTACATCCCCAATGCCGGCCAGAGTGCCAACAGGCTTCTCGCCCATAGGTTCTGCCACAAAATTCCGGTGTTTCTGGCTGGTGGTCATGTTGGCTGCTGCTCTGTCTGCAGGCAAGAAGAAAACCAAGGATCAACCAGGTATCATAACTAAGAGGGCAGGACAGAATATTACTAACCCACTACAAGCACACACACACACACCAGCCAATACCTGCTGACCCACTAGGCCAGCTGCTGTCACAGTATCATCACAGCTGACTCATTGCCTGTTTCAGGAAAGATGGGACCAAGGGGCCCATGTGGAAGGAAGCTTTAGCCATCTACATTCCCCACCCTTGATTAAACCAGGTAGCTCTGATGCCACCATGACCCAATCGGGAGTTCTCCCAGAACCTGTCATCTTCTCTGGGCTACAAGTGTCCTGCAGGTAACCACACTTTGGGAGACAAGAAACAAAATACTTAGCTATCATTCAGATGGGGCTGTTTTGGAAAACAGCAGCAATTTATGGCATAAAGTATAGGCAACCTCATTGCTGTTCTCCAAAGAACTGTACCTCCTTAGGCAGGGAAATATCCAGTCAACTATGGCATCACCAGCTAATTTTGCAGGTACCAGATCTCATGAAGCTGGTCCTGTAGATTCATTCCACTAATGGCGGTGTCTTCCCCAGGTGAAAACCTTAAGGGAAAAATTAAATAAACTGCACCGAATTTTAAGGGGGGCATCAAAACATGTTACCAAGACAATTTTAGAGAAAACAGATAAAGAGAAGTTTTCAAGCAATGATTTTAACAATGCCCTTAAAAAGACACAACTTCTGAAAAACCGGTCTCTGATCATGCTACAGTCAATTGCTAAGTGGCTGCGATTTCTCCAGTCACGGTCAAGAACAAACGGAGTCTGTGCGTTGCTATTGTGTGCTACAGCTGTGCACAGCTTTTGACCCATCAATGTCACTGTTTCCAGATAAGGCAACGACTTCAAGGTGGTAGCAGCTGGCATTACTTACACTGCTGCTAAATAAGGCAACATATAATACTGGAGCAATGACAAAGTATACCAGCACCCCCTGCTGATCAATGGCCACTGTAGCACAACATGGAACCAAGCCACAAGGATTCTTTTGTTTTAGAACTTGCAAGGGTGCCAACAGCTTTCAAGTTCTTCTTTCTTCTTCTGCAGATCTTCTGTTCCAGGTCTGAGACCCTCAATATCAGTACTGAACACCAGATGCCAAGCCAGTCTGTTTGGCTCTAGCAGCTGAAGAGACACATTATAGAGCTACATGTTTCAGATACAGATCTGCCCCAATTCAGCAAGTAAGAAGGAGGAGGGTGGTGGGAACTTCAGTTTCAAGAATAAAGGGCTCATGTAGGTAAAGCCTGCCGAACCCACTGGTGGGCTGCTCACCTTCTTCGCAGCCCCACCCTCAAATCAGTTACTTATATATGTGGACTTCTTCCACCGTCTACACTTGAAGGAATACTTTCACCACAGCACAGAACACACTTGGACAGACAGCTTCAACTGCCAAACAGCTACCTCCTCGCCCTTCTACCAATGAACACTATAAGGGTGAACAATTAGCTCCCACTCGACACTACGGAAAGAAGGACTCCATGTGGATTCCCCCCCCCCCAAAGACCACAACACCACACCAGACCTATATACAGAATGCTTCTGCCACTGGGCCCAAGCTGAAATAATCAACAAAATACACCACTCAAGATCCAATCTCAGCCGCACAGAGAAGAATGGCATAAACAGCCTGAAAAATAATCCAGATATTATAATAAAGTTAGCCGACAAGGGAAGAGACATTTTCATAATGGACAAGACAAACTATATATGAGAGGTTGAGCGACAACTCTGGAACACCAGTTTCTACAGGCCACTATCCTCAGACCCCACATATGAATACCAGCAAGAACGCAACAAAATTATGAAGAAAGTACCAGCACACATACAGGAACCCCAAGAACCTCGACCAGGCACTTTCTGCCTCCTGCTGGCAACCCTGGATGTCCCATTGTCTCGAGCACAGGCACCATCACTTTAGGAGTATCAGGATCTATGGACTCCATCCTGAGACCATACATTATTAATACTCCCAGCTATGTCTGTGATACCACAGAATTCCCGAGGAAACTGCATTCCATCGACAATCTCCCAGAAAACAGCATTCTAACCACCATGGATATTGATTCTCTGGCCCCAGTCACACGGGCTGGATATCGCGGGGAGGGGGGCGTGGCTAATTGCCCCTGCGCAGTTTGATGCGCAATTACGCGATCAGATGCGCCGGCGGCACACCACGGGTCCTTCCCTCGGCACCAGCGGGTAAACGAGGGACTGGAGGGGAATGCCGTGTTCCGGCACGATCACACCACGGGCATCTGGAGGCAGCCCGTGGCAAACGTTTACTAGTACCTTGGAGGTAGTAGTTTTTTTAACTCGCATTGTCGGCGGTAAGCCACGGGTGCACTCCACTTCCCAGATGTTGGGGTGTGATCGCGCTCGGATAATCCGCCCACCATCCGTGCATCTCCTGCGGCAACTTTGCCGTGTGACCGGGGCCTCTGTACACCAACATCCCCCATAAGGATGGACTGCAATCCATTAGAGACCTCATCCCTGACAACACAACAATAGATTTTGCCACTGAACTCTGCATGTGTGCTCTCACCTGTAACTACTTCAGGTTTGGTGAGCCAGCGTGTCCGGCAAGGCGGGATATAAACAGAAACAATAAATAAATAAACGTATACCTCCAAATCAATAGCACAGCTATGGGCACCCAAGTAGCTCCACAGTATGCCAACATTTACATGGCGGATCTAGAACAGCGTTTTCTGCACTCCTACCCATTGACACCTCTCCTTTACTTGACATTCACGGATGACATTTTTATTGTCTGGAGTGGACCCATGGCAAAGAAGCCCTTGAGAGATTCCACCAGGCTTTCCACAACTTCCACCCCACCATCTAACTATGAATTACTCTAAGAAATAAACTTTCTGGACACCACAGTATGGATACCACATTATACCGGCAAACAACAGTTCGGCAAACATATCTACATGCTACCACCACAACCACATCAAACAATCCATTGTGCATAGCCAAGCCCTACACTATAGTCGCATCTGCTCCAACTCTGCAGACAGAGATACTCGCTTGAAGGATCTGCAACAAGCATTTTTGCAACTACAATATCCTCCTGATATGGTGAGAAAGATGGCTGGAAAAGCCAGAATGATACCCAGTGACAGATTGCTACAAGACAAGCCCAAGGAGAATAACAGAACACCACTGGTGGTGAGCTACAACTCAAGCCAGTTCAACGCATTATTGATGACCTACAACCCATGTTGGATAATAACGCTTCCATTACACAGATACTAGACAGCCTGCTAACCTACAACAACTTCTCACCTGCAATGACAAACTACTTAACAGTAGCACAGACTCTGGTACCAAGGCCTGCAACAAAACAAGATGCCAATTTGCTCTTGTATAGATCCAAACAACACCAACAGTGAACCCAGCAACATTAGCCATACCATCTCAGGTTCATATTCCTGCTCATCCTCTAATGTGATTTATGCCATCACAATGTCAACAATGCCCTTCCACCCTCTACACTGGACAAACAGGCCAGTCCCTTCGACAAATAATTGACATAACAACAACATTCAAAAACCAGTGGGGGAAGAAGAAAAAGAGATTGGGTTTATACCCCACCCTTCACTCAGAGTCTCAGAGCAACTTACAAACTCCTTTCCCTTCCCCTCCCCACAACAGACACCCTGTGAGGTAGGTGGGGCTGAGAAAGCTCTGAGAGAACTGCTCTTTTCAAGGACAGCTGTGACAGAACAATGGCTTGCCCAAGGTCACCCAGCAGGTGCAAGTGGAGGAGTGGGGAATCAAACTCGGTTCTCCCAGATTAGAGTCCGCACACTTAACCACTACACCATTCTAACCTTCCAGGACATTCAGTTGCTGGGCTAAAAGTAGCAGTTCTCTTACAAAGGAATTTCAAAGGGAGATTAGAAAGAGAAACAATGCATCCACCCAGAATGAATCAAGACCTGTCTCATTACCAATGCTGATTTCCCCATGCCTATTACTCCTCTGCATATCTCACCAAAATCCAATCACACCTGATATTGTCATTCACCTGCCTACTAATTTGCCTACTAATGTCATTTGGCACCTGAAATCACTCCACTTTACAATAAGTAGAACAAATGGAATCCCATTCTAGCTGTATTTGAAGAAGTGAGCAGTGACTTATGAAAGCTCATCCCCTGCCACATATTTTGTTAGTCTTTAAGGTGCTGTTGGACTCTTGCTCTTTTCTACTGCTAGAGACAGACTAACACGGCTACCCATCTTGATATATGTGGACTGGGAGCCTTTCAGGATAGCATTTGATTTTGACCTTCACAGCTTTCTAAAAGTTTTGTTGCCTCCGCTGGTTTTTTTAAATTGTTTTAATTCTACTGCTATTTTAATTCTTTCAGTTTTTAAAATTATGATTCTTGTAACTTGTATGTAAGAGCGGAAATATATCACTATTGGGGACTGGATGAAGAAAAAAATACTGGGGAGGAGGGAGAGGGTTAGTGATGTGAGATGGGAAGTTTTCCAAAATAAGAAATTTTTGCAGAAGAATTTTCAATTCCATTTTTCCCCATGGAATTTTTTCCATCCCACATATGTCAATACAGTCTGTTATCTACAGTTGTCAGGGCTGTTACGCTGCAAATCAATCATGTTAGATGTGCTAAATGTGGAATATCTCATCACTTGCACATGGTGTTTTTGCGTTCTTTTGCTAACATTAGGCACTGAAATTATTTAAATTTGAATCAGAATGTTTTCTAGAAAATTTTCCAATTAACAATTTCCCAGAAAACCCACATTACTGCATAGGGCAAGGATGGATTTTGCACTGCTCACCCACAGGCCCATTTTGCTCTTCAATTACACCTTCCCCTCCCTACGCTAGTAAACACTGATCTGCCTCCAAACAGAAGGACCAGCTGCTACTGTAACTAACTTGGCTCTGAACCTCCCAACAGAAATGTTCCAGACTCCTCCATCTAGCAGCTGGCTGTTGTCACCCAACACATTTCCTCATCAGCTAACATTGCCACACACAGTCCTGAGAACCCAGGAGCCTACGCAACATGCACCACTCTGTACTTTGACACAGCCGGCCCAACTGCTTCAGACCCTCAGCTTGGGATACCTCCTGACCAGAGGGATGCTTGGGAGAGAAGTACAGACAGCCAAGCACATTGAGGAAGTACTCACACCCTTAATATGGGAGAAGAGATGGCAGAACCAAGGACAGTTTCTGTCATCTCCTTTATGTCACATTTCACTCAATGCAGCCAAGTCTGTCTCCAAAGACAAAGGTGGTCAGCCCTGTTGGTTTGAAGCAGCAGAACAAATTTAGAGTCCACCAGTGGCATCTTTAACACCAACAAAGTTTTATTCAAGGTATGAGCTTTCATGTGCATGCACACTTTCAGATTTGAAAAAGTGTGCATGCACATGAACGCTCATACCTTGAATAAAACTTTGTCCATCTTAAAAGCGCCACTTGCCTCTAAATTTGTTCCAAAGACACCATGGAGCATTTATTTACTTACGTCATTTATACTCCATTTTCCTGCCCAATGGGGACCCAAAGTGGTTTATGACCTCATTCTCCCCTCTACCATTTAATCCTAACAACAACGCTGTGAGGTAGGATAGGTTGAGACAGTGCGACTGGCCCAAGGTTACCAAGCATGGTTCCATGGCAAGAATAAGGATTCAGATCTGGGTGTCTCAGATTCTAGTCTCTTAATACTGGCTCTATCTCTAAAGTGTAGGAGTCTGTGCCACCCCACCCTGTGCTCCACTTTCCTACTGTTACTGGCATGGATCCCCGAAGGAAAAAAATGTCCACCACACCCAAACATTCCCTTTCAACATATACTTAGTACAGATGAAGAAGCTTGCTCCGTGTAGGAGCCTGTTGATGAAGGGAGCCTTTTAAGACCAGGAGAAGTGAACAAAGAACAGCAAGGCTGGGAAAGTCCAGCATCTGGGACTTTAACAACACACACACCCCATCATCCAGAATATTTTTCTATTCTTGGGGGAGAGGCTCAACACATTTTGACAAATTACTACTTTGAATCCTTCACCATAAACAAAACCTTATGCTCATTACAAACTCCCCCATCTGAACTTGAGAGAACTCCCTTGCAACGGTACCAATACTCAGTACCAGTGCGTACCACTGAGGCAGGGAAAGGGCACACAGAAGGTACAGGACCAAAAGAGAATCATCCATGTTTTAATATGAAGAGCCCTGCTGGATCAGACTGAGGGTTCACTCAGCCCAGCACCCTTATTCTGAAAGGTGCCTCCTGAAAAGACACAAAAAATGGCCTCCAAACAGCCTTCCTATCAGCATTTATTTATTTAGATACATCCTCTTTCACAGGAGATCCCTCCACAGAACCCCATACTAATAAACTACTCAAAACAGTTTAAGCCAACTAACAACAAGAGATCACACAACCGCAGAAGAGCAATACATGCAAAGTGACTCAAACAACATGTCCTTGGGAATCAAGTACAACATACATCACTGGACTATAACATACAACTAGCTATTCTCAATATCACCACAAACCCCTTTGGAAAAGTGGCATCTTACGAGCCCTCCTGAAAAACAGCAAAGATAAAGACTGCTGCACAGATAGGTCAAGAGAACTGGTGCTAAAAAGACCAATTTCTGGAGGCCAGGTGAGCAAAGCAGAGCACACTGGGCAGATCTAAGGCAGTATGCAGGCTCTTACCAGGAGAGAGTCCTTCAGATACTGAGATTTCAGGAAGTGTGGAGCAAGGAACTCTCCTGTGTACATATCATCTAACTGAGCACTTGCATAAGCACTTCTTCAGTATCTGTATATGACCTTTTCTACAGAATTTTTGGAGAGAAACAGCTTGAAGACTTGCCAAGAAGACATTGCAACTGGCTGTGGCCTTTATGCAGTGGGCATACAATGACATAAGCCCAAAAATCTGCCCTTGCTTGTTCTTAGCCCACTACTAGCAACACAAGGATCAGAATCAACACAAGGATCAGAACACACAGAATCACCTGTATGCTGCTGCTACTCAACCATTATCCACTTCAAGAAACAGAGGGAGGAGGCTTCAAGTATCATTTTTACTTTTCTACCAATTTCCAAAATGGTACTTAAAAACACAAAATAAAGCTTTTCTAATATTTTATTTATTTAAGAACAGTTATTTCCTCATCATTCTACCAAATAGCACCCAAATCTGCTTGCAAAGAAACAAAACAAAATAAATAGAAGGGATCGTAAGGAACCAGTGTGATAAGATTTCCATCCACGAAGCTCAGTAGAGAATAGGCTTGCCAATCTCCAGGTGGTACCTGAAGATCTCCCATTATTACAAGTTATCTCCAGGTAACCAAGTTCAGTGCCCCTGGAGAAAATGGCTGATTTTGAGGACGGATTCTATGGATTACATCCTGCTGAGGTCCCTCCCCTCCCAACTCTCCAGGTATTTTCCAACCCAGAGCTGGCAACCTTCCTAGAGAAATCCCTTTCCACCTCACAGGGTTGCTGGGAGTATTTAGGAAGGGGAGAACCCCGAGCTCCTCTGGAGAATGCGTAAGACAAAAACGCAGTAAAATAGACATCACCCCGTGTGTTCCCATAGCACCGCGAGAATTACAGGTACGAGTCAACTTAAAAAAATAAGCGGGGGGAATAAACGCAGCACCGAGCATCCATTTAATACCAAATCCTTCACGAAACTTGGGTTTTATCGGTCTCTTTGAGCTTATCAATGAGAAAACGGGCCATAATATAGAAAGACGAAAAAACCCGCCTTGCGAGGCAAGCCAACGAGCACCGCCTCCGCGCACATGGTGCAATGGGGGGAGGAGCCGAGGAACTACCTGGCGAGATCATCACGACTTAGGCTCGGCTGGGCGTGGGGACCGCTCAGTGCTGGCTACGGAGCTCATTGTTGGGAATTCACACCCTGCCAGCCGCACAGGCTCTCCCGCCACCCGGGGAGCAAACCGGGCCCCATCCCCTACCCCACCGCCTGCTTGGGGCGGCCCGCCGCTCACCGCTCAGCCTTCCTTCCAACCGTCGCTCCCGCCCAATCAGCGCCGGACTCACTGCGCCTGCGCCGGTTTCTACTTCCGGGTGCCTAGCCGACTACCTTCTTTGGGACTGGATTGGCTGTTCTGTCTAGTGACGTCTTCGACAAGTAAAGGGGCGCTCTAGCCTCTCTGGAGTCTCTCTATGGTTGCGCGGGTCTGGAAGTTTCTCCTCTTTGGACGCTCGGTAGAAATAATAGAGATCGAGGTGGTTATTATTGCTACAGTAAATACGGCTCCTTTTCTAATCTTGCAATTGTGTAACAAGTAATGTGGATTGTGTAGAGTCTGTGTATTTATTTATCTATAGGCAATTCCTCTAGATTGTGTAGTGACCTATAGCTTTTCTCAGCCTAATCTACCTCTCAGGGTTGTTGTGAGTGTTATACTTGGGAAGACCTGGGCTCCAATCATTGCCTGCGGTAAAACTTACTCGGTGACCCTGGCCCAGTCTCACTCTAACCTATCTCATAGGATCGGATGGGTAGCCGTATTGGTTGGTCTGAAGCAGCAGAACAAAGTGAGTCCAGTGGCACCTTTAAAACCCACAAATTTAAATTCTGGGTATAAGCTTTCGTGTGCATGCACACTTCTTCAGATACACTGAAACAGACTTCCACAAGCCTTACGTATAGGTAGAGAGAGGGGTTGTTGTGAGGACAGAGGTACATAAGCGTACCTTGAAAAGCGCCAAGATAGAATAGCCCGTCCCACGTGCTCCTCCATTCTTACACCCCCATTTTTTATGCGTTGCACCTTGGGAGTTGTAGTTCTCAGCTAGCCTTGCTGTAACCATAGCAAAGGGAATTAGAACTACAATTCCCAAGTTTGGAGTCCCAAGAGAACGTGGGGCATTAGCAGGGAGAGTCTGACGCACCGCTGTAAAGCCTCCTCCCAAGCGCAAATTTCCCACCATTGCCTTGAGCCCTCTTGCGCCCCGGCATCCGGAACCTCCCTCCACCCCACGTCCTGGAAGAGCTGCGGGGCTTGCCAGGTGCCAGCAGGGCTACGAGCGAGTGAGACCCAGTGATCTGCCCCATACCCGCAACTGCGCAACTTTCTACTGTCGGACGATCCCGCAGCCTTCTCCCTACGGGACCTACACACAGCAGGCAGCAGTGGGGAGTTGACTTCAGAGAGCCTGCCCAGTGCTTCCAAGCATGCACAGAAGCCCGTTTCTCACCCCTTTTTTAAATTGTAAACCCTAGAAGATGAGTGTTTGTTTCCCCAAAGAGCATTGTTGGGTATGGACCCCCCCCCAACTACCACCACCTAGAAAGGATCAGGAAAAGCTGTGATAGTCAGTCACCATCTGCCCAAACACAGTGAGACAGAGACTCAACTATGAAATAATTTATACGTTTATTGAAATTAAATAAGAGTCTTGTGGGAGTTCAGAGTAATTTTTCATTGTAGTATAATCTTTCATGGTCCACTTCATTGGAACGATATAGTATTTACCAGAGGGAGGCAATCTTCTATGTTGTTGTCTTGTCTGCTTCATCGGAATAGTAGATTATTTAACAGAGTAGTCATCAGGCACTGATTGAAGAATAAACATCAAGAACACTATTGATATAGATCAAGAAGGGTAGCCATGTTAGTTCACTTCTTGGAATGGTGTATTATTTACCAGAGGGAGGCAATCTAATAATGTTATTGCCTTGTCGACCTTATTAGTTCACGTCTTCGGATACCGCTAGAATGTGAGTCCATCTGTCTTCTATATTGGGGAGTAGAGTGATTTCAAATGCCAATAGCAAGCATGATATTCAGAGAGATTCAATGGTTCATAGTCGATCCTTAGGTATAATTTATATTCACTTGATGACCATGTAGTAATTTCTTCACTATGATAATTCATACTTGTTCTTCATGTAAAGGAATACAGTTAATAGCTCTTGCCTTATTTAGAAAAGAAAAACGCCTTTTAATTTTTAACAAAATACAAAATATATGCTTTATATCGTTTAGAATTTCAAACCACTGATATAACCTTTGGAAGTGAAAAGCTACAAAATTGTAAACAAGCTGCAACAGACTCATTGATATAAAATAATACTTACAAGCACTTCAGATCTGAGCATCATCACCAGAAGCGCTCCTGAAACTGCTTGGAGGGGAAGTGGAACTTTGTATAAGTAGAAGCTGAACGTTTTCGACAGGCTTCTTCAAATTTTCTTTTGGCAGGAGTCTCGGGGTCTAGTCATGCCGGCCACATGACCACAGAAATGTCTTTGGACAGCACTGGCTCTTCGGCTTGGAAACGGAGATGAGCACTGCATTCCTAGAGTCGGATTCGACTGGCTTTCGAGCAAGGGAAACCGTAAGGGGGTGGGCACACCACTCCCTTTGGGAGGGTGTTAGCTGCCGAGTGTGACTTCTGAGGCACGGCAAGATCAATAGATGAAAGAGCTGTTTTGGCTTCCCTGCAAAAAGCGCCAAGATAGAATAGCCCGTCCCGCGGGCTCCTCCATTCTTACACCATTTTTTGATGCGTTGCACCTTGGTAGTTGTAGTTCTCAGGTAGCCTTACTGCAACCATAGCAAAGGGAATTAGAACTACAACTCCCAAGTTTGGAGTCCCAAGAGAACGTGGGGCATTAGCAGGCAGAGTCTGACACACCTCTGTAAAGCCTCCGTCCCACGCTCAAATTTCCCATCATTGCCATGAGCCCTCTTGCGCCCGGCATCCGGAACCTCCCTCCACCCCACGTCCTGGGAGAGCTGCGGGGCTTGCCGGGGGCCAGCCGGGCTACGAGCGAGTGAGAGACCCAGTGATCTGCCCCTTACCCGCAACTGCGTAACTTTCTACTGTCGGACGATCCCGCAGGCTTCTCCCTACGGGACCTACACACAGCAGGCAGCAGTGGGGCGTTGACTTCAGAGAGCCTGCCGAGTGCTTCCAAGCATGCACAGAAGCCCATTTCTCACCCTTTTTTAAATCGTAAAACAACCCTAGAAGATGAGTGTTTGTTTCCCTAACGAGCATTGTTGGGTATAGACCACTCTTGCTGACAAACCCCCCCCCCCAACTACCACCACCTAGAAAGGATCAGGAAAAGCTGTGATAGTCAGTCACCATCTACCCAAACACAGTGAGACAGAGACTCAACTATGAAATAATTTATACGTTTATTGAAATTAAATAAGAGTCTTGTGGGAGTTCAGAGTAATTTTTCATTGTAGTATAATCTTTCATGGTCCACTTCATTGGAACGATATAGTATTTACCAGAGGGAGGCAATCTTCTATGTTGTTGTCTTGTCTGCTTCATTGGAATAGTAGATTATTTAACAGAGTAGCCATCAGGCACTGATTGAAGAATAAACATCAAGAACACTATTGATATAGATCAAGAAGGGTAGCCATGTTAGTTCACTTCTTCAGATACAGCGAAAATTGCTTCATCTGGAATGGTGTATTATTTACCAGAGGGAGGCAATCTAATAATGTTATTGCCTTGTCGACCTTATTAGTTCACGTCTTCGGATACCGCTAGAATGTGAGTCCATCTGTCTTCTATATTGGGGAGTAGAGTGATTTCAAATGCCAATAGCAAGCATGATATTCAGAGAGATTCAATGGTTCATAGTCGATCCTTAGGTATAATTTATATTCACTTGATGACCATGTAGTAATTTCTTCACTATGATAATTCATACTTGTTCTTCATGTAAAGGAATACAGTTAATAGCTCTTGCCTTATTTAGAAAAGAAAAACGCCTTTTAATTTTTAACAAAATACAAAATATATGCTTTATATCATTTAGAATTTCAAACCACTGATATAACCTTTGGAAATGAAAAGCTACAAAATTGTAAACAAGCTGCAACAGACTCATTGATATAAAATAATACTTACAAGCACTTCAGATCTGAGCATCATCACCAGAAGCGCTCCTGAAACTGCTTGGAGGGGAAGTGGAACTTTGTATAAGTAGAAGCTGAACGTTTTCGACAGGCTTCTTCAAATTTTCTTTTGGCAGGAGTCTCGGGGTCTAGTCATGCCGGCCACATGACCACAGAAATGTCTTTGGACAGCACTGGCTCTTCGGCTTGGAAACGGAGATGAGCACTGCATTCCTAGAGTCGGATTCGACTGGCTTTCGAGCAAGGGAAACGGTAAGGGGGTGGGCACACCACTCCCTTTGGGAAGGTGTTAGCTGCCGAGTGTGACTTCTGAGGCACGGCAAGATCAATAGATGAAAGAGCTGTTTTGGCTTCCCTGCAGTGGAGCGAGTCAGCCAGATGGTGGCAGTGTGGCAGCACGACATCAAGAAGCCCTGACGTCATCAGCCAGCCAACAAGAATACATGCCATCAGAACACGACTGATCCAGCCCGCAGATGAAGCCCCGGCTAGCTGCAATGTGTGTGTAATTAAAAATGCTATTATTACTATTATTACTATTACCTTTACCTTACTAAAGAAAATAGATCAAGGGGCAATTGGAATAGCAGCAGCAGAAAGCCTGTGGAAGGAGGAAAGCAACCCCTTACATGTGGGAAGGAGTTTTTCTGGTTCTCAAATGTTCCCAGGTTTATGTGTTGTCATTTTGCACTGGTGGTAGCCCTGTTTAAACGAGATGCTGTGCGAGTGCCAAAGTTCCATGGGGGGAGGGATTTTGCCATCATCACATTTAAATGAGGTCTGAAGAGCAGCTTGACAAGGAAACATTATTTTTTAGTGAGAAAATGTACATTAGCCTACCGTGAAGAATGAAAATGTGGTGGGCCGGGTAAGAGGAAGCCTGCACAAGGCATCCTGCAGGGTTCCCAACTCCGAGTCAGGAAAGTCCAGGAGACTGAGGAATGGAGGCTAAGAAAGGCAGGGTTTGGGCAAGGGAGGGACCGCCGCAGGGTATAGTGCCATAGAATTCACCCTCCAGAGCAGTGTGGACGTCTGATGTAATTCCGGGAGATCTCTAGACTGCACCTGGAAGTTGGCAGCCCTACACT